TCAACTGAATCTTCAATAGAGACGATTCTTATACCTTGTTTCAGCCACACACCAAAAACGAAGTTGGTGCATTACTTATTTTTCAAATTGTCATGCTCACAAGCCAGATGGAGAGTATTACCATTTCCCCTTTTCACTCTAAAACTGGGCATAAAAAGTCAGACCTCTAACCAGGATCACTAAATGTTTACAGTTTTATTTTACAAGTCAGAATTGTAGAAGGTCTAATGAACTTTTTAATGTTTTGAGGCTTTACTAATATCTGCTGAACTATCCTGTAACTGCCTGTGTTTCTACGGGAGCGTGAGTTTTCTTTGTCTGTTTGAACGTTACCTCCAGAGCTACTAGACAGATTTTATTAACTTTAACAAGGTAATCAGCGGATGCACATTTACAATCGATTCACTTTTAGAGTCAACCTGATTCAAAATAGTTGCCGCAGTTAATTAACCTGATCAAACACAAAAATAGTTGTAACTCGGTAAGTTTTAGAAATCTTGAGTTAAATCTGTGTGTGATAGTAAGTGAGAGTTATCCCCAGTGCATATTCTGAGGGTTAACAGATCAGATCTTCGTTTCAAACTTTGCTTTGCAAAATGGCAGACAACCTGCACTCCTTCAAGAAATACTAGTTTTATTAAAAATTATCTGGAATTAGAATGATTGGTGCAAATATCTCCAGACTAGTTTTATCCCCCTGCAGTAAACTGAACCGTGCATTGACCTTGAAATGTTTATTCATGTTGGGATGTAGATGAAGTACTGCAGGCTGTAACTGTAAGGCAACAACCTTGTTTATCTATTTTTCATCATTTATGTTTTTGCATAAATCAAACTTATTGGTCATGCTTTATATTTGTCTTTAACTCAATGGATAAATGTTCAACACAAAATAGACTGGTATACTTTGTATAGTTGTACGTCTCTGAGGAGGAGGCAGAAGGTTGTGCACAGGCTGCACAGGAATAAGTTAAAATTTCTGATTCAGTCTTATTATAGACCAATTTTGTAAATATTGGTAAAATCTAAATGCAATTTTGCGTTACAATATTTAGTTAAAATGTTAAAAATAATGTAGTATAAAACAACATTATGTCCCGATCTTTGAAACAACACCATCATGTTACATTAAAAAAACAGCTTTTTATACTTTGCAGAGCCTATTCTTTTAGTCATTCAGCAGTTATTTTTATTTGACCCGATGTAAAAATTATTATTTTTTATTTAGGCTTTAGTACTATAAGAAACCTCTTGGAAAACCAAAGCAGTGATAAAGCTTCTTACTGTACCCACAGATCCTATAAAGAGTTTATAATGCAATTGATTTAGTTTTTGTTAATGTGAGAAATGAGTTGCAGATTTTTTTTAATTGGCTGAAATCAAATTAAAGCATCTTGTTCATCTCATTAATAAACCACTGAGTATTGAGAGTACTTTTTATGTTTTTATTGTCCCCCGTCGCAGAGTGAAGATGAGATAGTTGTACATTTTGTCCGTCTATGTATATTGTGAATAAGATAACTTAAAAAATAAGCGAGGTACAGACCTCCATTTTGGTGCGTGGCTGCTTCTTGGTGTGAGAAAGGGTCCTTTAAGAAATTTGGTTGCCACGTCAAAGTCCATGATGGCTGCCACCATATATGTAAACCTTGTGCGCTGGATAACTAAAAATAAGCAACTTGTCATCTTCCATTTTTGTATGTGGCTGCATCTAGGCATAGGAAAAGTCATTATCAAAACTTGGGTTGCCACGTCAAAATCCAAGATGGCCACCACAATATTTATATACAGTATAAACCAACCACTCTCATCATTTGAGGAAACTATGCTTTCTAATTTTTATATTGCTTAAAATAATATAGTTTCTTCAAATGATTGGGGTGGCCAAAAATTTATTTATGGCGACCAAAGCCACCACTGGCCACCCCCTGGCTCCGCCATTGCGCTGGTGGTGGATAAAATTGTTGCTCCTTCCACTTCAATATTCAAATCCATCAGCGATGGGGAACATTGGTGTACCACTTGTTTACACTTGCATTTTTAAAAACTAACTTTCCCTGCATATCTGTTTTATGAGTGCTTGTATGGATCAAATTTGGTTAATGTGTGCATGTAATCCATATATGCGCGAGGAAGAGTGTAAAGTGTGTGTAACCATGTTTTAGATTAATTATGGGTTTTTCTTATTAGGAAGTGTATAGCTGTGTATCAGCTGTGGCTGAGGGGCGGCTTTAGCTGAGTGGTTAGATCAGTCGTCCTCCAATGGGAGAGTTGGGGGGGTTCATTTCCACCAGCAGTCACATGCTGAAGTGTTCCTGGGCAAGACAATGAACCCCTCATTGCCTCCGATGTGTGTCCCAGCGGTTTATGAATGTGATCTAAAGCACTGATTATGCTTTGTAAAGATATAGTAGAGAGCTGTATGAGTGGGTAAATGAGGACACAGAATGTAAAGAGCTTTGAGTATCTTGATAAGACAGATAGATACTTTATTAATGGAAAGGCACTATATAAGTTCAGTCTATTTACCATTTATAAATATTGGTGTGAGGGTGGGGCTGGTCTTGCTGTGCAAGCAGCTTATTTCCTTAGAATAATTAAAACAACATGAGCTGCTTATCAGCAGAACGGAGAGCAGCTCTAAGTTTTCAATAAAGGAAGACCAGATGTTGCACGTTAACAGGTTTTTGTGAGTTAGACTGAAGGTTTGTAACAGATGAGATTCTATAAATGCAGGACATGGAATTGTTTTAACACTCAACCCACTCAAAGTTGATCTTTTCTCTAAAAGTTGTTTTACGCTCTCACGTCTGTTAATATTTCTTTCCTTGATTTTATTGAAACACACCTTCTCAGGATGCCTCACACACAGACACACACCTTCATGCAGTCTAGAAACAAATGACAAACTTTTGACATCTCTTCCTTTGTCCTGCATAAGTGAAGCAGGGCTTGAAGGGGAGGGAAGTATTGCATATGTGTGGTCAGACCTTTTGTTTGGTAGGGTTCAACCGGATCCTCAGAGCCTCAAGTCAAACACATGCACACAAAAAAAGACACAAACACAAAACTATACTTAATACAAAAAATGTAAAACAATTGAAAACAAACTCATTCCATTTGAGTCTTTGTTTATTTTAATCAAAACCCACATGAATGGTTGCAGACTGGTGCACGATGTACATCTGTTGGTATGAGCACCTCGATGTATGATTCTAAACTTTCTCTAGTCCCGCCCATAACATCTGATCCGCTTAAGATAATTTAATACAACTTTACACTCATGACTAAACTGTCACGTACACTTTTCATCACCCCAGAACCAAGTCAAGGTCACAAATCAAGGTCAACATTTACACAAGATCTTTGCTTGTCAAGGCCATTGCTATAGATTACTGTATTGTTGTACAGCAGTCCCTTGCTATTTCGCGGTTCAATTTTTGCGAACTTGCTCTATCATGGTTTTTCAAAATAAGATTGGACATGACACACTAGAGCTGTCATTTCTAACTCCGCCCAAATTCGGGGCAGGCCAGGCCATGATAATGTGCTGGATGGGCGGGCTGTGTCAGTGTTGGGCTTTTGATTGGGTCAGGATCAGCCGCGATCTAATTATATGCTAACATAGCCTGCCATACAATTACCAGCTGCACGCGGCCATTTCACCGCGAGCTGACCGGCCCTGAAAGAGGTAAAAAGTTCAGTTAAGCTTCAGATGGAACTATACTGCCAGGCAGCGATCCAGCGCCCAAATGGACGTTCATTCAGCCACTGCACTCAGCGGACGCGTGGTGAGAAACAGGTGAGGTCCCAAAGAAGACATGTCAGAGCAAGGTTCGTGTCTGAATAAATCCGAATCCAGGCAGAAGCAGGGATTTCATGTTCTTTTATGGCCATGAAAGGACAAACACCCCCCTCAGCTCCAATCTTCTGCGCTTGTTGTTCAGTTGCGCGTCTCCAACCGTTAATAACTAATTATGTTAATAACTAAAAATGTTACTAAAATGTATGTTTTTTTTTTCCAGGTTTGGACCTGTAATTACTGTTAATTCGTCGGGTCAGGTGGGGTTCGGAAATGATGGCTGCGGGCTGGGGCCGGGTCGAATTGGATTTTTTGGGCCCGAATACAACTCTGACACACAATTGGCTGATTGACGAATGAGCTGCACGATCGACATGGAATTTTTATTTCAAATGAATTATTTAAAATTATTTAGCACCTCTGTGCAGCCCACAGGCGCAGGGAGAAGCTTCCTCCTGCAACATGTCATGTCTCTGCTCCGCAGCAGAGAAGTGGGCGTGGCCGAGAGCACTGGCAGATGGCAGAGAGCTGATTTCATGACATGCTGTGCTCTTTTAGAGCGTTTAGAGTTTAGAAGCATTGTTTAGAATATTACAAGAATGTGAGAAGGATTTAAAATGCCTTAATCTCTCGATGTGTAAATACTAAAATAAACTACTTACTACTTGTACTACTATTCCTACTTTGTGTTTTTTCCACATATTGCGGGGCCTCAGGGTACGGATCCCCACGATAAATGAGGAACTACTCTATACAGTATTAGTTTGTCAAGAGGCGTGTAATCTACTTGATGTCACTGATGGAGAAGTAATCAAGGTTGAGAATGCTCTGAGAAATGAGTGTAGTACGTAGACAAAATGACCTTAAATGCGTTGTAGGGAAATATTATCAAAGACGCAGGAGTTGATACAAAGCACAGATGTGTTTTCATTAAAGAAAAATAAACTGCTACTAAAACATGGAACTTGTAAAGCACATTGAATAGCTCTTTTTTTTTTTTTAATAAAATGTGACCAGATTAATTTTGTCACATTAAACAGGTTTACACAGTGATGAAAACAAAACAAGCAGAAATTAGGTTTGTTCTTGCAAAACAATAATTAGAATATTGCTTGATTCATTTTTATCCTGCCAGTGCTGCTCCTTTTTCATCCTGTTTTCATTTTGTTACCTCTTTTGTCTTTTTTTGTGTGTACAGGCTATGGCTTTGTGGACTTTGACAGCCCTGCAGCGGCCCAGAAGGCTGTGGCCTCACTCAAAGCCAGTGGAGTCCAGGCACAGATGGCCAAAGTAAGCTTCATCTCACCCTGCACTCACCCCGCTCTGACAAACCTCCTCTCATGTGGTCGTGGTGGATTCAGTAATCCAGACAGCAGCTGATGGTTATGAATGCTGGTTGTTGTTGTGAAAAAACAACAATGTTGCTCTTATCTGATGACAAATGACCTCTCTGTATATGAGCGATAACATTTTATTGAATCATGTTCCACTTACACATTCAGCTTTGATTGAGTATATTAGATTACATTTTGTGTTCATGATGAGATAGAAATCTAAGATTTTTCACACCAGTATATTTTAGCAAAGTTTTAAAAAGATGAAAAAAAAAGCCTAATACTCCCCTTTTCTTTATTTGATTTCCTCATTTTAAATGATATTTGTGCACATGACGTTAACATACAACACATCCCTGTCAACAGACTTATCTTTATTTTAATATACATTTTTTACACACCAAAGTTTTTCCACTGAAAATGGTGATTAAGTGCTTTGAGATGTTTTACACCAATTTTTTTTTTTATTATTATTTGTTGGATTTCACAATCACCACATGACTTTTTACATATTTTACCTCAAACATTTAAAGCTGTGCTTCCAAATTATATGAGATTTGCGGCAGATTTGACAAAAAGCTCTAAAAGTTATGGACAAACGTGACACGCCTTTGTTCCTTTGATGATTCTGTGTGCTGCGTTCCACATGGACGCACCTGAGTTCCGCTCCCCACCTTGTTTGGTTCTGCGATGATCACTTCATTTTGTCTCTGCGGGCCGTGTCCAGCTCCATCTGTACTTTTTGAATGGCCTAAACAGCTTAAAGACAAACTGGTCCGTGCTGCCATTTTGCAGGGCCATTTTATGAAAGAGCCTTCTGTTAATCAGAGATGGAGCCAACACACACCTGCTACTATTACAGAGTCATGTGACCCAAAGCAACAACGCTTCTTTCCATTTGTTCAACATCGGGTCACAAAAGTTCTAAATCCTCCAGGAGGATCCCAAGACAATACCTGTTCAGAGAGGATCTATAATACTCCATGGGGGAGTGGTGGCGCAGAGGTTAGAGAGGTGGGCTTGTGATCCGAAGATCGCCGGTTCACGCCCCGGCCCCGACAACATCAAAATTGTGGGTGGGGTAGGTGAAACACCCACACTTGCCCCCACCCTCATTCACCCCACTCTGGGCCCATGAGCAAGGCCCTTAACCCCCACCATGTGCTCCCTAAACAGGTCTCTCTTGAAAATGAGTTCTCGTGGCTCAATGAGACTAACCTGGATAAATAAAGGCTAAATGAAAAAAAAAAAAAAATGGTGTTCTGGGCCTGCATTAGGGTCTTCTTCAAGTAGGAAGTGCCTGAAAAGAACCTCCAGAGGGAGACATCATATGCCCCATTTGCACTGCTCCCACTCAGCCCTCCACAGAAAAATCGCTACTCCACAGTACTTTTTAGCTGATTCAAGGCTGATTTGTGACCTTGTTTTGTCCCTGCTTCTCTGGTGGGACCACTGGAGCTGAGTCGGGACTGAAAGGTGAATGCATGACACAGATTGGTCAGGGGGAGGAGTCACTGGATTTCAGAAACTTTTCACCGATCCTCCATTTGCAATTACTCGGAACTCGGAGCAGCGGCTGGATCTATTTTAAAGATTTTAAAAATAATAATGACAACACCGTGTTTAATGCTGTAGTCCAGGCGTTTTTTGTGTTTGGTGACCGACAACAAAATTCGAGCGAGCGGAGTCACCGCGAAGGATCATACGAGCTGCCGACCCATTGAAGCACGCGAGACCGGCCCCGAGCCCTGGACTCACGTGCTCACAAAGGCCGGATTCTGAGCCCTGGCAGGCGAGAGGACCGGGACGGAGGGTGGAAAAGTTATTTATTTTTTTACATTTTATGTATAAAAAATTAAAAAATGTATCAGTGAAGAATAAAAATAAACGGTGCCGGCTTTATCGTGAAATCCTGTTTTCACTTTGACTTTATTAAATAATCTGTTAATTAAGGTTAACTCAGCTGAAAAATCATAAAAATACTAAATTATTGGATCTCTCGGGAATATTTCCCTCAAACATGTTTAAAGAAGAGCCTTTGGTTCAACTTTATTCTAACCCACAGATGTACAAATCACAAAACAAGAATTACACTTTAAATCACTCTTTGATTGTTCTAATCTCTTCAAATGAGGATTGCTAACTTTTTCTGTCTGATTTTATAGACAAAGTCAGTAAGGTGAAAAATAACATTGATCACTGATCATCACTTAAATCACTAAAATCAAATCTGTATACAATAAACAAAACCACATATCAAAAAAATTGAACAATAAAAGTAGACACAATGAGTGCAAATACATCAAATGATGAAGAAGAATATGGAATTTTAAATATAAATGTTTTTGTAGGATCTGGTTCATCAGATTTAACTCAGTTTATTTATATAGCACCAAGTCACAACAGAAGTCGTCTCAAGGCACTGAACAGAAATATTCATATATAAAATAAGTTAACAGAAACATTCATATTTAAAAATAATAAATTAACATTATTCATCTGAGGAGCAGACTGCTTTGAGTTTAACTCATTGTAGAACTCGCACTCGGTGAACTAAAGTTCATTCAAAGTTCATTAGCAGGATTTTGGATTCTGGACACGCCTCCAGAACCGGTCCTGAAGTGCGATGGAAGTCAGGCTGATCTGAGCAGAGTTGGGGCTGAGGAGGAGCAGTGCAAAAGTGGCACTCATAGTCTGAACCACCTCAGCTGACTCCTTCTGATGTGGAGGAGCAGCGACTGATCTTGGAGCTCCTCACCATTTATTGAAGAGGCTCATTTGAATAGCTGGTATCCAGGATCTCATTTGTTTGTTAATGATCTAAAGGCAATGAGAAGAGGTGAGGGTGGACCAGTTTTTACTTATGTCTCAGCTCCTGTTTTACGCCAACATACCGGAGCAACTGCTTTAATACTGCAGGTGTCTGTCAATCCATCCCTCGCTCTCTCCTGCCGTTTCTCATGAAGAATGTCACAGTCTGTGTTTGTTCTGTTATTTATTTAATATTTTTTCATCTTATTTCAGCATTTGAGTTGATCTTTTAGTCATATTTTTCTATTTTATATTTGAGGTTTGTGTTATTTTTCTGGTTTTTTTTTTCTGTTTTGACTCAGCCTGTCAGCTTTTCTTTTCACCCTCAGTCAGCCTCCTCAGCTGATGTTCGGTCAGTTTACCACTCACCCGTTTTCCATGATTAATCACTCAGGTGCTGTCACTTTTCACTCCCCCCGTTCTACTTAAACCATTTCTGATTGCCACTCCAACAGTGGTTCAGTGTCTTGGCCACCTGCCAGATGTCTCAGTTCTCCCTCTTGTGCTCACTGTGTTTTGTAAGTTGTTGCTGCCACGTCAGCCTTTTGGTTTTGTTCATTTACTCAACAAATTTTATTTTACTCGAGCTCCTTGTCTGCCTGCATCTGGGTCCAATCCCTCCACTGACCGCGATAGAGAACGCTCCTAGATTTAATAGATGTTAAATAATTTGCCTTGTTTTGTAGTTCTTTAAGGTGATTTTTCTGCGATCTTCTTTTCATAAATAAGAGAGGAGTGCAGCAGGAGCATCCTGCTGAATTAAACAGCAGCAAGCCTCTGGGCCACCTCTGCCTTGCTCTTCTATTAAACCTCTTTTCATTAAGCTTCCATCTCTTATTTAGCTTCTAACAGATTTTAGGGCTCAGAACATTAGAAGTGTTGATGGGTTTAGCTGGTTTTACAGATGGAAGAACCCTTGACTCCTCGGAGATTGGAGTTTCACGAGAGATGGAATGGAGGGCAGGAAGTCCGCTCTGAATGAAATTATTGTGTCATGAAGTAATTATGCAGAGAGCTGCTGGTATCCCTCCTAACCTTAGGAAATCGGTGTGCAATTGAGTAAAATATACTAAAAAATACTAGCGTTGCTTGAGTATTCATCAGTTTGTGGAATGAAAAGCCTGATTAGGATTTCAAAAAATCTTTTCCTAAACCACGATAAAAGCTGCTGTGCAATTTACCTCAACTGTTCACCGATATTAACTTATCTGAGACAGAAAATGTGCAAAAGATAATAGGGGAAAAATAAATCATGGGAAGATACATTTCGAGACAAAGAGGTAAAACATCTAGAAAATTAATTAATTATTGCAAGAACATTAAAGATAGAAAAAGACCATATTACGATATGAAGTTAGTTATTCAAACAATATCTTGTGGTTTAGGCTTAAAGATTGTTAGACACCCCCCCCCCACCCCCACCCACACACACATATATTAATATATATATATTATACAAAATACTTTGTATATATATATATACATATAT